TTGATTTACAAAGATGCTGAGTTGATTCACAAAATATATGTATTTATATGTTTATATGTTTTCGAAACTTTTTTTTTTCTTCAGTTTCAGCGCTCCGAAAAAAAATGCGTTCGTCCGCTTGCAGAGCAATTGTTATTCATTATTTATTCCTCAAAATGTTTATTCCCTACTTATATTTTATTATAGTTTATAATACTAGTTATAATTTTTTATAGTTTATTTACTAATTATACCTCAGTATTTTCAAAATACATAAGTTACAAAACATACAGGTTACATACAGGTTACATTAGTGTTATAATTTGCAATATCAACAATTTTTATTATAACTGTTCTATTAGTACATGTACTATTTCTGGTTTGACATAAGTATTGTTTTATACCTTGATAATTCTGAGATTTTTAGGCATTGAAAACAAAAAAATATTTATTTCTCTAAAAACAGAAAAACTATGGGAAAGCATTTTTATATTGATTAATATAATTGTTTAAAAAATTTTAGATATGATAACTAAGACAACTGACCGCTAAATAGTTCAGAGGAGCAATACTACCTTGATTTTGATCATTTTTATTTAGTAATATTTGTTGTTTAATATAAATTTAGGTAAAACTAAATAATAATCAAATTTGTAAAAAGCAGAGTTTTATTTAGTAAATTGTTTTCTTGCTCTTTTGTTCTATTCTTTTTCTTCTAGAAGCTCCCAACTTAATAGGGGTTGCTTGCAGATTTATTAGGAGTAAATCAGAATAAAAAACAGATTAAAAAATTATGCTGACTAATTAAGCCAAAAAAAAAATCTACATTAGCTGATATTTCCCAACTGACAACTCAAAGGTCCGAACCTGCCACAGGGTCCAAATGTGTTGACTAATTTTTGAATATAATTTTTCTAGAGGGGTTATACACCCCCTATACTCCTTTAGAAATGGCCTTGAATGTTTGACTTAACAAAAAAAATTACTGCACATTTGTTCAACTTTTTACTAAAAATACTTATAACATTAATTAAGTTTTTAGTTGTGGTTTCTTACTTTGAAATTATTTTTTAAAACTAAAGAAGGGAAGCAATACCCAACCTGCTGATAAGCAGCTGTATGGGCAACAGACACTAATTATATTCACTGGAATAAATTGTATTAAGCTGTTTTATTACCAATAATAGTTGTTTGAAAATTAGACAATTTTCATCTACTCAGACGGGATTGTCTTGTCAAGTTAAATTATAATAAAATGTATTTATTGTCAAGTTATATAAATTTCACGTATTTTTCTAATTATTTCCAATAAATAACCAGGAAAAAAAAGTTGTGAATATATATAGAAAAACTATAAATATTTTCTGCTTTTTCTGAAAATTGAAAAAATATTTTCTACTAGTTATAAAAATAAAATAGTTTTAAAATAAAAAAAAACTTTTAAAAATTTCAAAAACCTCAGTACCCTTTGCGCCAACCACTATTTATCATCAGTTTGCATATTTGTTGTTGTTTTTTTTTTTTTTTTTAAATAATCATCACTACAACTTGAATGATATAAGAATTTTTAGCAGATATATGAAAGCACCTATGTTGTGATACAAACATTTCAATTTCAAAGTATTTTTTTTTTTGTGTCAGTTACTAGGTATGTTATTTTCTTTTTTTTTTTGAAAAATTTCAAGGTATAATAATAAAGTAAAAACATATGGTATTGTGATTTATATTCATCTGGCTAATTGCCAAAATGGAGGGCACATATCAAAGTCTGCTGAAACCAGGTTCAGCTTTCTACAAAACACCATTAACCAACTCCACAGACTAAGAGTAATAGAATTTTGTGAAGAACAGAATTGAAGTAAGCTAAAAGCAAGAAGAAGTTTTGATATTGCACTTATTATGTTTGTTTAATTAAACATGTAAAATATATTATTTAGTATAATAAATATCATATAAATATATATATATATATATATATATATATATATATCAACTTTTTCTAAAAATTAATACAAAAAAAAATCTCAAGTTTTGTTATACCACACATGTATTAAACAAATCATTCCATACACAAACCCTACAACCTAACAATGACAGTTACACTTACAGATGTTTGTACGCAACACTATACAAATGTTTTTTTTGTTTTTTTTTTTTGTTTTTTTTTTTGTTATCCAACTCCTCAAGGCCGAGAAGGCCACTACAGACAAGGAGGCTACTTAATAGTGGTTATAACCTTCTCTCAACTCTATAAACCCGAAACACGAACCTTGACAAACAGAGCTGCTGCGCGGAGAAACAAGTTGAGGGCGGTACTACTAGGGACATGGTGGGGATCAAACTGGGAACCTCTCGCTTATGAAGCGAGTGTTTTACCACTACACCACTACCGCATAATAATTTATACATTAAATTTGTCTTACAAATGTAAATTTAATAGTCTTTTAGTATTTATTAGTTTCTATTGTGATAATTTAGTTAATACTTAATAAAATTATTTGAGGTGGCAGAAAAAGATTTGGGATTATTTTAATTAATTAATCTTTTGTAATATCTATATCAACATTGTTCTAACACTTCTGACAATTTTCATCCTCTATAGATTCATACTTATCTATTTTTATTTTTGTAATAAAAGTAGTTATTTTTGATTACGGGATGTAATAAAAAAAAAATAATTTAATTTTTTTAATAATTAAATAAATAAAATTTTAAATAGAATAATTTTTTTTTAAATAATTTTTTTAATTTAGTTAGTCTTTGAAAGCAAAGTAGTATTTTAGTTTCATTTTTGTCACATACAAAATAATAAAATTTGTAAATAAAAAGGTCTGAAGTTTTTAAACAATCAAAATAAATATTAATACAGCTGTGTTGAGGATATTACACAAAACTGTTGCTTTTGGCAACAAAATTTCTTTTGTTAAAAGTCTAAAGTAATGCACCAAACTTTTTCTTTGTTTTGGTTTTAAATATATGTTTTTTCTAAAATTTATTTGTGTCTAATCCAAGTTCTAAATAAAGTTTTTATGTTTTTTGATTTTCTATACTTTCTAATATTTTTGTTTTGCTTATTTTATTATTATTATTTAGCAATATTATAATCAAAGATATTCAAACTCAAAAACAGTTTCTTTTTATTGGTCACCATTGGATTGCTGTAGATCGTGGTTCATGCATGTTGGATTGTGTTATACCAGTAGCATCAGATGAAGATCAAAAATGTTTTAACTATATTTTCACTACTAAAGCAAAAGGTTATCTCTCTGATGAGCACTTGTGGTTTTCAATTTTCGCTCGCCCACCTAAAAGTAGTTTTACCAGGTGTCAAAGATTGTCAGTTGCAGTTTCATTGCTAATGACTTCAATGATGGTGAGCACAATGTACTATGAAAAGATTAATTATGGAACATCAAATGAAAATAAAAGTGTATTTTCAATCTCCAAAATGCAGGTAAACATTTAATTTGCTTATGCACATATTTTCCATGGGTTTTAAAACGTATATATATGTATATACTTATATATATATATATATATATATATATATATATATATATATATATATATATATATATATATATATATATATATATATGTATTATATATATATATATATATATATATATATATATATATATATATACATATATATATATATTCATATATATATATATATATATATATATATATATATATATATATATATATATATATATATATATATATATATATATATATATATATATATATATATATATATATATACATATATATATATATATATATAACTATTTTATTTTTATAATTAGTAGAAAATATTTTTTTAATTTTCATTAAAAAAAGCATTATAATTTTCAGAAAAAGCAGAAAATATTTATTGTTTTTCTATATATATATATATATAGTAAAAATACTTGTCTATTTTTATACATAAGTGTTTTAGCTAAATTATTATTGCTCTGTTTTTCAAAAATATTAAGCACTATATGTAGAATACACTGCAACTGTCCCAAATAATTTGTTGACCACAATATCTTTTTTCGACCACGATATCTTTTTTGTTTACTGATACACCAAATGTGTATCAGTAAACAAAAAACTAAATCTACTGTTTTTAGTATAGGAAATGGTGTACAACAAGGTGATATTTTATCATCACTACTGTTTGGGTAATTAGTAAGTTAGTATTTAAAATTTCAAATATGCATATTGGATGCAGTAATGGATGCAGTAATTGGATGCAGGGATTTTTCTAAATATTTTTACTTATATTAATGACATAGTAATTATATCAATTAATGATGAGTTCTTATTAATTAATATGTCTTTTAACACAAAGAAAATAGTTTGCATGGTTTTAAATCAAAATGAAAAATCAGTAACAAAAATAATTGTGTTGTTTTTGTTTTCAAATTTAAAGTGTAATTAGTTTCAAACTGGAATTTGCAAACAGCTTCGGTACCTTAGTCATACTGCAAAATATGATCAATCAGATGATATGGATATAAAAAAATAAATAAAAAATCTGTATACTCAAACAAATATTTTATGAAATAATTTCTTGATGTTTAAACCTAGTTAAAGTAAATTATTTCAATCACATTGCATATATTTACACAATGCTTCCCTGTGGAGCAGTTTTGACACTAGAACATTGTCACATATACAATATTGCTATAACAAATGGGCAAAAATGTTTTTTTGATAAGAAAAAAAAAAAAAAAAATATATATATATATATATATATATATATATATATATATATATATATATATATATATATATATATATATATATATATGTATATGCATATATATTATTTTTATGTATATGTATATATATATATGTATATACATATACATTATTTTTACAAAAGTAATAAATAAAAACATTAATTTGATTTTCTTATTGAAAAAGGTCATGCACAAACGTTGAATTAACCATACATGTTATTAATAAATTTTGTTCAATAGTATTTAATAATCATATGAAACCTATCATGCTGGAGTAAGATGCACTATTGCTTCCTTAGTTAAAAATTATATTCATAGGGTCTAATGTTGATCGCAAGTTCATAAGGCATTACCTTATTTGATTTCCTTTGAAAAGTCAGAAATAAAAACAGTTTTAATTCAGTAATTTGAATGCATCAGTAACATCAAATAATATTCTAATTTTGAATTAACCGTATGGATTAAATTAAAAACAGTTTTATGATTGTGATTATTTAATTTTAATTTTCTTAATTAGAGAATTAATATGAAGTTTTCAAACTTTTAACAATTTATTATTACATCATAAAACTCTAAGTTACAAATTAATTTAAATTACAAATTTAAATAACAATTCTACAAGTTCTAACAATTCTTGTTTTTCACACTAATTTGTTCTAAGAATTTCTGGTCTCGATGGTTCAAGTATCGAAAAATGATGTGTAATATTAAGCTTAATTAAAGCGTACAATTCTTATCCTTTGTTAGACAAATCTAAACTTCTTACTTTCTACAAATAACAAAAAAAAAAATTTATGTTATAAAACTTTGTTCCTTTTTCAGTGTTTACATTCGTACTGTTTGGTACAATCATCTTTATACTCTTCCATAATATGATTCATCAAAAATAACTGCTATACCTTTAACAACAATATCTGTTTTTCTATGTGCTAGATTTGTGTGGTAGACTTCTTTATTCTTTAACACTAACACTTGATATTCTTGATGACCATCAAAATAACATCAAAGTGATTTGTAGGTGTCTAACTGTTGATCCCACCTTGAGATAACTGTTGACCAATGGTTGCTATTTTGCTGGTTAATGACTTTGAAGATGATACTTATTTGGTTGCAGTTTTGGTTTTGCTGTAGTTATTGCTGGTACATATGTACTGTTCTTATGAATCTTCAGACAATATTTTGCCTCAGATTCAGATTGGAAGTAAATGTTGTTGCTTTTGCCATTACTGTTATTGAAGTAGACTTCAAGGACACTTTTTTTCTTTTAGATCGATAGATAATTTTGAACTAGCAGCCTTCCCAATTGTATACCCGACTTGTGCTTTACTTTTAATTTTAAGATAAAACAATCTTTTGTTTTTCCTTTTTTTTTTTGGAATGTCAAAAACATGGATTGTATTTTCTTTGTTTTACACATTTATTATGTATCATTAATATTCAATCCAATTTCATTTTTAGGACTTAAATTAATATATGTGAAAAATTTGGACTTAAATTAATATATGTGAAAAATGCATTCCTTTTGATGGATTCTCCCTGAAACAGATATCCACCAACTATTTGGATTTTGAGTGGTATCCTAGGGTTGTTTTCCAAAAAAAAAATAGTGTTTTTTTTTTTCTAGTTAAACATTTTTTCTTTTCCAATGTGAACCATTAATCATTACAGATTATTCATTTAGATTGTTTTAGTTTTTTTCATTAGTTGTAGCACTTTTTTTATAGGACATTATGATTGAAGACAATACTTGAATATATTTCTGAAATGCAATAATGATATAATTGCTATTGTACTTCTATATTATTTGACATCTGGCTTATACAGATAAATAGATTATACAGAGAGATTTTTAAAAAATCTCTAATGTAATTAGTTTTACTAATGTAATTAGTTTTACTAATATTAAACAAGAACTTGTTTGACTTAAACCAGCCATTAAGGTTTTCCAGCTCTCGATTAACAGTAAAGAAAATTGTTTTTATATTAGATATTTAATCCTAGTAGATAATAATTAAATAGAATAATTTTTTATAAATATGAGAAATGATTTTAATTTATAAACATATTATTCTAAATAATTTGAATTGTTTTACAATAACATTTTCATATGTAAAAATAAGAATTTATGTTTCAGAGACATAAAACTTAGTTGTTTTATTGGTAAAATTTACTAAATAGGATTTAACGAATCAAAAATTTTTAAAATTCTACAAACTTATAATAAATTCTTCTCTTGCACTTTAAACATGGACTGATAAACATTATTATTGATATAAACAATGATAAAAAGAATGATGAAAGCAGTGATAAACAATTATTGAAAGTAGTCATAATATATATAATGACTTAATTACTAACAACCCATAATATGCTTTGTTAGTAATTAAATCATTAATAACAATATAACTTGATATATTATCTGAAAATAAAATGAAATACAATAACCTTTAAATAATTTTTTTTTTTTATTTATCTATTGGCTTTTTGTTAACAACATAAAAAGTACATAACATCAGTTAAGTTTTACAGAGGAGGAAATGCAAGTACAGCTTACTAATACCTAAATAAAATATATATATATATATATATATATATATATATATATATATACATATATATATATATATATATATATATATATATATATATATATATATATATATATATATATATATATATATATATATATATATATATATATATATGTATGTATATATATATATATATATATATATATATATATATATATATATATATATATATATATGTCTATAAATATATATATATATATATATATATATATATATATATATATATATATATATATTATATAACTGAATAACATATTTTACAATAAATTATAAAAGTTAACAATAAATGTAAACTTTAGTATTAATATTTTGATTATTATATAAATAGTTTTTTTTTATATTTTTTTTTTTTCAGATTTTTGTTGTTTTGATTTGCACTTGCATCAAGATACCTGTGCATCTGCTTTTAGTAAACTTTTTTCGTTCGATAAAACCATTCTCTAATACTGTTTATTCAAAAAAGATTTCATTGTTAAACAAAGAAACTTTAGCTGAAGAAGGATCAAGTATCTCATTAAATTTACTTAACAACAGTAGGTGATTTTTGTTTATATAACTTTTAATGGTATATTTTGTTAAAAATAGTCTTTTTTAAGTAGTGTTATAAACATACCATAATATGATACTAATAATAATAACAAGAACAAAGATAATATTAGCTATTTTAACAAAAATTAAGCTATACTCCCTTCCTGTAGTTAAAATCAAGTAAATAGCATTTTTACAGTAATAAATTGAAATATATATTTTAATATATGATACTTTTTATAGAGACCAGTTCTAATCAGTTATCATCAATATCAAACATTGTTATTGATGAAGAGAAGACTTTAAAAAAAACTAGCCAAAAAATAATCCTACCATATTGGTGTTTATACATTGCATGGTTTTTTTGTGTCGGAAATATTCTATTTTCTGGGGCATATGTTTTATTAATGGGAATGCGTTTTGGAAATGCCAAGTCGTTAAATTGGCTTGCTAGTATAACTATTGACTTTGTATGTATTTTTTATATTTTTATTAAAATTAAAATAAGGAAATTTCCTCAAACTCTTAAAATTTTAAATTCATTTAAATACTCTCTGCAAAAAAAAATTAATCAACAAGGAATCAAACTTGTTGATTAAAATTTTCACTCAACAAGTTTGTTTCCTTGAATATTAGTGCTTACAAGTTTACTCCTGTCTTCATGTTTTCCTAACTCAAAAATACAATTTACAGTTAAAATTACAATTTACAGAATTAAAGCTAAAAAACTCAATGATTGAAAAAAAAACTCAATGATTGGTGACAATTATTAAACTATACTTTGTTTATATTTGAAAAACAAGTTATGGTCTTTCACCCCACAAAATATTTATAAAACTGTTATTTTTGCACTCAACATCTAACATTATTTACTAAAAATCAACTAAAAGGTTTTTTTTTTTAAAAAAATTAGAAGTTACAAATGTACTTTTGAAATACACTTCTGAAATACACTTTTGAAATATGCTTTTGAAATTGGAATCTAAAAGCTTGAATCAGAATCAAATGGTTTGTAATATAAATCCATATTTTTTAGCATTGTGGGGATCCATACACAATTTGACATTAATTTGACTTACTAATACTTAAAAAGTTAACTTGAACATGCACAACACTGTTAAAACTCAAAATTTAATAACATGCACATTGAAATAAATTGTTTGATAGAAATTTTTTTAAGGTTGCGAGAGAAAAAGTTTTAGTAACACATGCATAACAAAAAAAAAATAACACATGCATAACAAAAAAAAGTTATTAAATATAATATAAATATTTATATTATTATTATAGTTTCCTTAGGTAAAACAAAAATTTATTATATTGATTATTTTATCAGTTAATTATTTTGATATTCTAAAAAGTAAAATAAAAAAAAACATTAAAGTATAATTTTGTATATATAACACTCTGAAAATGACCTAAAACTAAATGCATAATTTATGTAAACTTCTCTAGTTTCCTGAATTTAAAAAAGTTAAAATAAAAGTCTATTGAGTTTTGCTAATTATAATAAAGAAAATGGTATAAAAAAAATCTATTATTTTTAAATAATTATTATGTATATTAAATTCATTGTAAAGTTAATGAAAATATGAACTGTTTAAAATATGATTTTGGCATTTATAGTTAAAATATAAATGTTTAAATTACCTTTTTATCTTTTATGCATATCAGTGAATGTTGGATGTAGCTCTTTAAAAAAAAATTATGATTACAAACTAATAAACTCTTTGAAAAAGAAAAGCTTATAAATAATAATAATAATAATAATAATAATAATAATAATAATAATAATATATTTTCTTAAAATCTGCACAATTTTGTATCATTGTGACAGCTCTATAGTATAAATATTAAACTGTTTTTAATCACACTGGTTTCTAATCTTTAGTAATTTTTACTTTTTAATACTAAGTTTTCTTGTATTTTATAGTTTTTTACTCTATCCATTTCCCAAGTTCTACAGTTGAAAAGTCTCTTACTACTTTACCATTCTACTTTTTATATTTAGTTTTGTGTATCTAGTTTATATTTTTTTATATGATTTATAAGTTTTTACTTGTTTATGAGGTTTTCCACATAGTGTACATTGATGGATATCTTTTTTTATATAAATCATAAGTATAATGTTTTCTCTTTAGGTTAAGGAGATATTTTTAACTGATCCAATAAAGATATTTATTTTGGCAATTTTTGTTGCAGCTGTTTACAAAAAGATTAATGAAGAAGAATGTGAGGTTGAGAAGCAAGGTTTTTAGACATTTTGTAGGATTTCTAATCATTATAATTTTATTTTTATTTTTAATTGATTCACTTTTTTTATTCATAGTTTTTGTGAAGAATATAAAAAATATGTTTTCTTACATGTAAAACTAACATTTTTAAGGTATAATGTTAGCTCAAGATGAAAGTTGGCTTTATAAACCAAAAGATGAACCTACTATTTTTGATCAAGAATGTATTGAGATACAACCTCTTGATTCAAATAAATTGATAGAAATGAGAGAGTTGAGATTTAAACAACACAAGATGTATGCTGTAATAACTGAGATTTGTTTATATACATTTTATGCAGTTTTAGTAATGTTTATTGGTTACACAACACGTGAAACTGTATTTTTCTATCAAACAAATAATTTGGAGCAACTTTTTAATATGAAATCAGTTGCAGTACAACCAAAAGATAACTATAAAATTTTCAACCAGGTTTTTATTGCCATTTTTATAATTATGTTTAGTACTAAAACTTAAATATATATTAGAAAATACAATACAAATATTATAAACATATGAATTCCATACAATACAAATATTATGATTACAAATAAGGAATAAAATAAATGGTAATTAATGATTTATTTTTCAAGTTACTATTCTACTTGAACTTTAATAACAAAGTAATTTAATAAAGTTTATTTTTGGATAAAAAATTAAAATTTTTAATCAGAAATGAATTTCCTGTATCAACTTAAGGAGTTAAATAATATTTTAAAATGAAAAAAAAAACATTTTTTTAAAATAATTTTTTGGAAAAGTTTTGGAAAAATAGTTATTACTTTTAAAAAAGTTTTTTTTTAATTTTGTGTTGTAAAAATTTTATAAAATTGTATTTTTTTTTTGTTTTTCATAAATTATAAAATATAATATATTGTATGCATAGATTAAGTCTTCAAAAGATTTTTGGCTGTGGATAGAAAGATTTTTCCTTCCCCAAGTTTTTCCGGAACCTTGGTATAGGTTGGATGATTCTTTTTCAAATACAAATAAAAATGATTTCCCTGGAAAACTGTTCTTAAATGACTTATGTTCAAAGATTGTGAATGGAATTAGAATTCGACAAATTCGTGTGCAGTCAAGTATATCATTCATTTATGTTTTATTAACTATTTATATTATTGTTAACAACTATCATTAATCCCCCTCCCCTATGGCTTATCTATATTAAATCTAAGTGTTTAGTATAGCTCTTTCAATATTCTTAATCTGTATGCCTTGATCAAGTGTAATTTAAAAATAGATTCATTGTAAATGATTGTAGAGTGATAGTTCTTACATTTCATGATTTTTGTTAATAAATAATTTACTAACCCCTGATGACAAAAATTTGGCACAAAATAAACAGAAGCTGTAATAGTACAACAAAACGTTTAATGAACAAAAAATTAGTACAAAGTGTAAGCAATATATAAGTTTCTATTTTTGAGACTGAAATAATACTTTCTCAACTTTTTTGTATACATGTTTGCACATGCCTTGTACAAAATTTTTAACTTTTTTTTAACAAGAATGGATTCTTTTTCGCAGCTGATCTTTATTTTGAGCTTTCCAATTGTTTTCATACATGTAGTATTTAAAGATTGACCAGAAATCTTCTATTAGTTGTAATTCTGGGACACATGCCAGATCAACTTTTGTTACAAAACAGGTATTTTTCATATAGAGGTAATTGGTCACACTTCTAGCATAATGTGAAGAGGCCAAGTCAGGCCAGAGTACATAATTACCATCACTGTGATGTTTGTTGATAAAAAAATCTAACTGTATGATGATGCAATTTTTTTTGTACATTGTTTAGTTAATTGCTAGTCTCGCAGGAACAATAAATGGTTTTGAGATTCCACGAGGGGAAACGGTAATTTATACAAGAATACTTTTTTTTCAAATTTACTTTTGCGATTTTATTTTACATTTTTTGGTGCATTTTTTGCTTCATCTGAGTAAAATCTAGCATTACAGTTTTTATTTGTATGTTCAAATGTAAAATAAGACTCTTTTTAAATGACAAAGTCATGGTTTTTGAATTTGTGACAAATTCAGAAACCGTGACACTTTACACTTCCACACTTCAGTTGCAACTGTTTTAACTAATTATCAGTGCGATCAGCAATTTGTTTGTTTTTTTAAATATATGTTTTGTTTTTTAATATTTTTACAATGTAGGAATTATTGCACTTGAATTTATTTGCAATTTTTCTTGTTGAAGTTCCAGACTGTTTGTTTAATAGACTTTTTAGGCGATTGATGTTCCTAGTAGTCATAATATTTGGTTTTCTGTCTAATTCAGGCTTATGAGACTTTTGCTTATTGTTTTCCTCTTTGTCTTATAACGTTAGATGGTTCTTTCAGGGTGATTAGAGGCAACAAAATACTCTACTATGCTCTTTGTTTGTTGAATTTGCATTGGGATGCAAATTATAATAGTTGTACACTTGTTCAATTAATGTAGTCGGCTTCATTTTTTGATAACTTTTTATTAATTAATCTAAGTAAACAAAACTTTAAGTAAATAATAACTAACACTTTATACACAAAACAACTGAAAAAGTAAAACTGACATAAAACTGGAACTAAAAATTCAATAAGTTTTAGCTTATCAATGATTGTGCCAAATTTTTGTCACCAGGAGTTATAAATATATGAGCAAAAATTTTAATATTAAATATTTACTTAAATTTCTTTGATGTTTTAAAATAAAAGCTAAAACACATCTTGATAAATTTTTATCATTCAGTTGATTGTGTTTGTGTGTATTAACTTTATTTAAAAAGTTTCCAAAAATAAAATCAAAACAAAAAGAGATAAAAATGTGTTTAACACTTTTAGTTTTTTATGTATTTCAAAAATTATTTAAATGATACATATCCAAAATGATTTTATTTTAAGTTATCTTCATTTAATTAAGCACTAATATAAATGCTTATTAAAAACTAAAATTATTGTTTACAATATATTTGATCATTTTTAAGTAATAGTATTACAAAAACTGATAATTTTAAATCTGGTAATTAAAATGTTCTTAAAGTTTCAACAAATATTTTAATTTCAATTTTAAAAAAAACTTTAAAGATGAAGTTAAAATGTTTTTTACTTATTTTACTCCTTTACTTGAGTCTAAAACTAGTCATTTCCAGTTGCTTTTTCTAGCAACTGGAAATGACTAGTTTTAGCTAAATATTTTTTTGGTATTTATTACTGGTTAAAAAATGTTTTCCCATTCCTAATTGTTGCCGATAATTAAAAATTATTTTCTCATATTAGATTCATGTAAGAAAGACAAATCAATTGTTAATTTTTTCAAAATTGACTGTTTGTCATCATACATATCATCTCTTGAAGAAACAAGAGATTTTAATTTTAATTGGTCACTTCCAATCAAATACAAATCTGCTATCAATCCATCAACTATGCCTTGGAGGTATCAAACTTGGAAAGTACTTGATGGTTATCCATTTGCAGCTAATTTAGACACTTACGATGGAGGAGGTTATGTTATAGAAATTTTTCCTAAATGGAAAAATACGGTTATTCTGGAGCAAGCCAAGATGCTTGGATGGATTGATAGACAAACACGAGCTGTAATAATTGAGTTTGCTTTGTTTAATGCTGCTACTAATTATTTTACCATGGTCACAATGGTCTTAGAGTTTCCTGCTTCTGGTGGAGTTGTTCCTAACTTTTCTGTACTTACATTTAAGTTATTTGCATCAGCTACAGGATCAAAAGCTATGTTTATATCTCATATTCTTTTTATTTTTTTTACTATTGCATTTACAATTCGAGAATGTCGCATTTTTTATCGAACTGGTTGTAAATATTTTCTTGAATTTTGGAACATAGTGGAAGTTGGATTGATAGTTTTTTCTTTTATTGCAGTTGGATTTTTCTTTTATAAAGGTATTTTATTTTATTTTATGTTTTTTTAATTCTATGTTTTTAAAAGTTTTATGTTTTAAAGTTTTTGCATGCCTAAAATATTTCTTTATAAAAGTTTATAAACTGTTTTGTAAAAGGTAATATTTCTTTTTTTTTAGACTATTTAGCCAAGCTGTTGTTAAAACGAATGCCAGCTAAGAAACCACAGGCTTTCATCAATTTTCAGTTTGCTTCATACTGGGACCTGACATATGTTTACATTGTATCTCTAATTGTTTTTTTTGTAACTCTCAAGTTTATTAAATTATTGCGTTTCAATCATCGTGTTTCAATGTTATCTTCAACATTAAAAGTTGCATGGTATCCTTTAACCATGTTTGGAATTATATTTTTTATCATTATGTGTTCTGTGGTCTCAACATCAAGCATTGTGTTTGGTATGAATATTTTTGTTTAGTTTTTCAAATATATAAAAAATTTATGTATATGTATGTATGAATGTATGTATGTATGTATGTATGTATGTATATATGTACGTATATATATATATATATATATATATATATATATATATATATATATATATATATATATATATATATATATATATATATATATATATATATATATATATATATATATATATATATATATATTAGGGGTGTTCACATAAACACTGGAAAAAAAGATTTTTCTCTGATCTGAATGCACACTAGTTTATTTTGTGCCATTTGGCATAAAAATTTACTGTGTAAAAGAAAATTAAAATAAATTAATGTTTAGAGATTGCTCAATGGTCATTTAGTTTTACAATAACAGCATTACGCCTTTAATAATTTTCTAATTTTATCCCATGTTTAATTTAGATAAAATATTAAACAAATTTGATGTACCATTGTCTTTTATGAGCTAGCTTCTTTGGTCATGTGACAAGCAGCCATCTTGTCATCTGATGTTCTTGATTGAAAAACATTTTCATTAATTGCAATTTTTTGCTGAACAACTGAAAGATTTAAAGATTTTGAGGTTCTTATTTATTTTAATCCTATAAAATAATAATTATAGCTGTTATGCAAATATCTTGTTTTTTAGTGCTATATATTATTGGGTGACTAAACTTACTTTAGTGTTTGTAGTTTTGTAGTACTTATGATTTCATCACATATATATTGAAATATTTATCACATATTTTAAATTATGTTTGCAAATTAATATTTAATTTCTCAAGTTGAGTTTAATTTGGTATCATTTAATTTTAGCTTGTTGCTGAAAATGAGTGAAAAGATAAGTTTTTTAAATTTTTCTTTGACACGTAATCAAACTGCAATATGATTGATTGGTCAACCTGAGAAGAATCTACCAAACAATATCCTTTCAACGATGGTTGATGTGTTAAGAACGTTTTTCCACTATCACAAAGCATTAAAACAAACAGTTCCAGACAGTACAAAAGCAACATCTAATGGTTTTGCTCACATCTGGAAAAAGGCTAGAATTCCGATGACTTACCAGCCTCATATTGTATCAAAAGTGAAAGCATGTGTTGATGAATATAATTTGATTAAAAAGAATAAAGGAAGAGCTAGTAAGTCACAAATTGCTAGAGAGGAAGACTTTAGTATCAAATTAGATTTACTGTTTGACATTTCACACAAGGATGCTAACAAGCTAATTAAAATTGATGAAGATAAAATATTTCTCAACAAGAAAAGCGAACAGCAGAGCGTCAACAAGCAGAAATAAAAAGAAAGCAGAATGCGGAAGAGAGAAAACAATAACCAAATGCTGTCCTTACCCCTAGTTATAGCCACTTTAGTCTTGATTATTATAGTAATAGCGAAGCAACAAAAGTCAGTGACATTCCTGATGACAATGATGATTATGAAATAGAAATTCCGGTTTATCACAAAAAACTAGTAACCCAATCAACTGACTGTGAACAAAGTCTTAAAAATAAAAAGCCACATAATCTCAAATACCAAATATTCACTATATTGGCAGCTACAATTGCTAGAAGAAGTGGAGAGAACCACCAAAGTACACCATTATCAAGATCAACAGTCCGCTGCAAACGCATCATGTTGATCAACTGAAAATCATATTTGGCAGAAATTTATGTCAAGTGAGAAACAACATATGGTTGTCCACTGGGATGGTAAGATGAAAAGAGACAACATTAACTATGAAAATTCAAAGTCCAATGTTGATAGAATTGCTATGACTTTATTTATTTTATTGCAATGTTGATAGAATTGATGTGACTGGTCGTAATCTAGAGAAAATACTGGGTATTGAAAAGATATCATCTGGCACATTCAAGCTGACAATAGAAGAACAGAACATATTTAAAAATTTTGTATCGCTGCTGCTCAAATCTTTGTATCAGCATGGATTGCCTCTCCAATTGCAAGTGATGCTCCAGCAAACTACCTGATACTCTTCACAAGAATTAAACAATATTCTGAGATCAACAAGGTCATTTCAAATGCTGCTATGAAGAAGCTTCAAAATCACACTCAATATCTTAGGTCAGAAATGATTCCACTTTCATTATTTTCTGACAGGGTTTGTGACACACAAAAAAAGATGATTGTTGAAGCTATGATTCAAAGTGGAGCTGGTTGGAGTGTCAGGGGTGTCCATCATAAAGTGTTCAGCAGCAGATTTAAACAAGTTGGAAAAAAAAAGCAACTTCATGAGCTTGTTATATCATCATCAACTGCTGCTTTGCAGTCACTTGGTCTTGATTTAATCATTTTATCTAGAACTGATCCAAACACCTGGGAGGAAATTGCTAAATTTCGTTATACTAAAGCCATTGTTGAATCTGTGAAAGTTATCAATGACGCTGCTGAGTGTTCTGTTGCACTTCTGAGCATATTTAATCAATCCATCACAAAAACTTAATCTGAAATGCAGAAACTAATACAAGTTGAGAACAACAGAAAACGCATTCCAGATTGCCGCCAAAGCATCTTGATGACATATGCCACTGTTGCTACAGACTAAACTTTTGAACTTGTAAATAGTTCAAAATTTGAATGTTATTTGCAATATTTGAAAAAATTTTTAAATATGATTACTTGTTTATCATAGCTATAACTCAAGTTTTTTAAATATTGTTGTTGCGGCACATGCTTTTAACACAGTAAATTTTTATTTTCCTTGAGCAACCTCTAAATATAATCCAAAACACCTAAGATATATATATATATATATATATATATATATATATATATATATATATATATATATATATATATATATATATATATATATATATATATATATATATATATATGTGTGTGTGTGTGTGTGTGTGTTTGTGTGTGTGTGTGTTTGTGTGTGTGTGTGTGTATTTAATTTTTAGCAGCACTCCCTTGTGAGTCAGGCTATTTGTCAGTCGATGTAGCAGCACTTCGTTGCAAGTCAGGCTATAAGATAGTCAATGTAGCAACACTCACTTGTAGCAGCAGGCTATAAGATAGTCGATGTAGCAACACTTACGCATGTTTTAAAAATGTTTTTTAATAAAACAAAAACAAAAATGCCACTAATTAAAAAAAACTTTCTAGTCATTATTATTGCTGTTTTTTTAAAAAACAATAAAATTTAATGTACTTCCGCATTAATTTAATTGCTTTGACATTTCAACGACAATAAAATGCAGCTTAAGAGACGAGGTAAAAAAATTGTAGTCGAAAGAGACTTTTTTTTACCATAAAAGTCTTTTTCGACTATATAAGGATATATATATATATATATATATATATATATATATATATATATATATATATATATATATATATATATATATATATACATGTTTATATATGTGTGTGATTGTGTGTGTGTGTATTTAATTTTTAAATAAATAACAATTTTCAAACTTTTTAACAACATGTTTTATCAAAATAAATATTGTTGTTTTGGCGCATGCTTTTAGCACAGTAAATTTTTATTTTCCTTGAGCAACCTCTAAATATTATCCAAAACACCTAGGATTTAGCACAGAAGTTTTTTTCTATCAATGAAACAATATTTAAAACTGTGCAACATTTAATTCAAAAAAAATTTTTTTTGAATTAAAATATGTGTGTGTATTCAATTTTTAAATAAATAACAATTTTCAAACTTTTTAACATGTTTTATTAATATCAATTGACATCATCAGGTATAAAAAATTAGTTACAATTTCAGAATTTAAACAATTTTTTTAGCTACAATAAAAATTTAATAGTTTTTACAACAGTTACTATAGTTATATTTTGTAAAATAAATAATTTTCATGAAACTTTATAGAAGATTATACGAAGTGTGAAGTAACTAATAATAAACAAAATAGTAAATAAAATGTAAGATAATTGAGAAACTACGTTGTTATAGTAGTAGTATATTTAATTGTATATTAAGAAGATGTTTTTCCATCTTAATATTAACAATTGTTTACCCATTGTTCCAGCATTACAGCTGGAACAATTAGTAAAACCACCAGATACTACACAACAAGGATTTCATAACACTTATATTCAGATAAATTTAAAAACAACAAAAAAATCCAAAAGTTCAACAAATCCTAATTTGGTTTCCAATATTAACAGAGCTTCCTCCAAGTATAAGCTTAAAATTAAGTAAGGGGATAAGCAGATATGAAGTTTAAAGTATTTTACTAACGAACCAATCTACTAAATAAATATATATTTTACCTACTAAATGGTCATCGTTTTAAGGAAAACCTTATCCTGTTTGTTGGATTCTCAAATCTCTAATATTTAAAAAATAAATTATTAAATAACATGTTAATGATTGGTATGTTATACACACAGATATATGTATGACTTTGTTTTTGGTCAGTAATAATAAATATAAATTTTTAGGCTCTTTGTTAGATGGGTATCAAACCAACTTTAAAGCTGTAGCTTCTATTATTTCATTGTTATTGGGAAAATTTAGTTACAGTCAATTTGAAAAGATTAATAGTGTGCTTGGACCAATTTTTTTTTTTGGTTTTAATATTTTTGTCATTTGGATCGTTATGAACATTTTTATCACTATCTTAAATGATGCATTTGCTGAGGTTTGTGTAGATCTTAGATCACAAAGTAATGACTATGAGATAGTTGATTTTATATTGGACTATTTCAAAGGTAATTTATTTCATATTAGAATAATAAAAAAAAAATTTTCTATTTTACTTTTTTTATCATATTTAAAAAAATAATTGTGAGACTTGATCAAAATGTATTATTTAGAAAATTTTAAAACGTATTTAGAATTACTTGGATGGAGCCCTCTGAGAAAAAGGGAACTTATAGTAGAAAATCTAATTCAGGAGGAAATTGCTGAATCCAGTAATAATAATGGTATTTTGATCACTTCTCGTAAAAAGTCAAGGTTTAGTCAGGTTGCAACTGAATTCATTGGAGGTAACCAAATTTTGAGTATAAAAAATTTGTTGCACTGATATAATAATAAAATGTTTTAAAATAAAATATTTTACTTTATGAATTATTAAATTATAGGTATTAATGATACACAACTTGGGATAAATAAAAGGAAGTATACAGTTCAAAACCAAGATCATATATCTTTACCTTCTCGTAAAAAATCAAGGTTAACTTGGTTTACTAACGAATTAGATAAAGGTAAAAGTTTATTTTATTGAGACGTAAAAAATATTATTATATGGAAATAATTGATATAAGTTTAAAACAAATTACTTACAAAATAAGTTGTCTCACAAGTTTCTCCTATATTAATCCACATGTAAATAATTTAAACTAAACAATTCACTATTTTGATTTAGCTATACATGTTTGTATAAAGTTGAAATTATTTTTTAAAATTAATCTTAACTTTAATCCATGCATTATTTTAGACAGAGAAATTGAAATTCGAGGTCAACATTGGCTTCTCTACTTAGCAAAATAAGTTGAGTTTAATTATTTACTAAAACCTCTTTAAATCAATTTCTATTTTAGCTGCCTAATTTGTATAGTTAAAAACTTTTTTGGAAAAAATTATTTGTACATTCATGTTGTCATTGCATTTTTTGCAAAAAGAGTCCATCAAATTTATAAATTGTTGCAAACAACCTCGATAAATTTACAAATTGTTGGAAATAACCATTCTATAGCTAGGAGAATAAAAAAATTTTATCATGTAACACAAGGTTATTTTCATGTAAAAGAAGTAGATAATTTAATGTAAATAAAATTGCTTATAATCAAACAGTGATTTGAGACAAATATAAAACCTTATTATTTCCGTTAAACATATATTTCATGAACTTTGTTTTCATTATAGTTATGAACTATTTCTTTGTATTTTTATCCCTCTTTTTATTATATTTATTAAAATTTTTGTGAGACTAAAGTATAACATATTTAGAATAAATTAAATAAATATTGTTAAAATATAACAGAATTACTTTAAGGAAAAAGAAACTTTTTGTAGAAATTCTAGTTCAAATACAAATAAAACTAAATACATAAATATTTTAAAATCTCTTCTCTACTAGAGTTTCAGCTCAAGCCATAACCAATATTTATGGTGCTCATGGTGAAAAACCAAAATATAGTGGTTTTATTTGAGATAAGTTTGACACAAGTCATTAGTTTCTTTGGTGATAGTGATAGTCCTAGTCCAATGATAAGATGCAACAGGTTTGAACCAAAACATATTTTCTACACCTTCTTCAAAATAATAATTGTTTATTTGGGTTATGCTGAAATATTGGACACTATTACATAAAAGATTGTTTGAAATTTATTGTTCATGAAATAAATAATTAAAGATCTGAATCAGAAAATTGAAATTTTGAATTTTTCTATGATAACACTTAAGCCCATGTTTCTTGAATCATCACAAATTGTGTAAACTATATATATATATATATATATTATATATATATATATATATATATATATATATATATATATATATATATATATATATATATATATATATATATATATATATATATATATATATTATTTTAGTATATTCAACAAATATATATATATATATATATATATATATATTATTTTAGTATATTCAACAAATATATATATATATATATATATATATATATATATATATATATATATATATTAACGGCTGTACCTTGTTATTGTAATTGATTATGTCATGTTTTAATTTTAAAAAATGGGTAAAAAAAAGCCAAGTGTATAAAAACAAGTTGTTACTTTAGCTTTTTACAAGAGACAGCATGGAAAACTGCTTTGAGAACCAACGTTTCTCAAATTGCAACTAAAGAGAATGTTGCAAAGAAAGCATAAAACTAAAACAGCAATATGTATTCATTGTTTAGAGAGTCTTTGTAATTACAGTTTTAAATATTGTGTTGCCACAAATATTGTATTGCTGCCAAAAACCATTTTAAAAAAAAACTAAATAAAGCTAAAAGATTGAGATGGGTAAAAATACATAAAAATTGGGCATTTCAACAATTGTTTTCAAGTCTTTTTCATAGATGAATTAAAGTTCAAAGTTTTTAGAAAAAATCATTACTAATATTTTTGTTGATTTATTAAAGAGTGCATAGTAAGACAATGAGTAATCCTAACAGTCAAAAATAGTGAACAATTAGTCATGATCTTAAAATGTTTTTTTTAGAAACAAAGATGGTGACTTTGTAGAAACTGACGACATTATAGATAAAAATAAATACTGCAAAATTCTAAAAAAGTTTTTCCGAAAAAAGATTACAGGATAAAGATCCTAAGCACACTTCTAAAATCTGCCAAAAATTTATCACAGCAAAAGAAAAACAAATAGAAGTAAAACAAGTATAATGAAATTCTCAGCCATTTAATTTAAACCTGATCAAAATTGTTATGTGGCGAGTTGAATAGAACTGTGAGAAGATCCAACCAACCAACCAAAAACACCTTTTGGTACTCATTCAAACATGCTGAAATTAAGTAACAACTAAATAATTGAATAAATTGGTTTTAAAGATTTGAAAGATGCACAGAGTATTTACAGCTGTTTTAAAAGTGAAAAGAGGATACTTTAAAGAATCGAAAAATTAAAAAAAAAAATTTTGAAAGATTTTATATAATGCCATTTTGTTAAAAGATTATTTTATTGTAAATAAAATGAGTAATTAAAAGTTATGGTAAAAAATCTGTTTTCAAAATTTTAGAAAATATTTAGCAGGATTTTCAAAATATATATATTGCTTAAAGTTTATTTATTTTATTGAAAACAATATAATTAAATACATATAATAAGAAAAATCTTTTTCATATTATTAATATGCAAAAAAGAAGAAAATTTTTCTCATTGTATGTATTTATTTATATTGTTTATTTATATTACTTGATAAATATAATATATTATATTTATAAAGTGTACATATATATATATATATATATATATATATATATATATATATATATATATATATATATATATATATATATTTAAACTATTGTCTTGTTTTTTTTCTAGTTGGAATTATTTTAAAGTTTTACCAACTTTTAAAAACACTACTTTATATAATTTATTTTTTTAAGGCTATTTTCAAAAATCCATTATTCCCTAAAAGTTTCCACAAAGTATTTTTATTTTATAATTTTGACCAACACACTAGTGTTCAAATGTTAAATTATTTTCTCATGAAGAATATTTCATCTTTTAGATTATTTAAATTTATTTTTGTAATTCAGTTGATACGTTTTTTTTTTTTTTTGTTTTAAATTACTACTTACTGCTTTGATTTTATTACTTCCTGGTGCAATGAAAATCCTTTTTCAAGTATCTAATAGATTTTAAGAAAATATAAAAGTAAAACCTTTTACATGAGTGTTTTTTTTTATGTTTTTTACATGCCAAAATAGTGGTATTTTTTTTTTAATTTTCATCTACAGGGATAGATGAAAATTAAAAAAAACCTGTACCAAGTTCTAGGTTATCATGAAATTTTTATTTTCTTGTTTATTGTTAGCCATATATTGCTCTGTATTCATTTAGGGTTGAATTTTGTCTGGTTGATAGTGGTAATATTTGATCATGTGTCATTAAAAATATTTCTATATGTACTCTTAGTATATTAGGAAATAATTTGCATGTAAAGCAATGAATAAAACAATTTTTTTTTTTCACTCATATATAATTTGTGTATACATTTTAAACATTTTTTGAATAAATTTCTTTACTTTTAAAATAAACTTATAGTGAGTTTTTATATGAATTGAATATGGTTTTTTTTTCTATACCAAAAACAATAATTATTAAAATTAAATCAAATATTAAGTTAAGGAATTTTAATTTATATAAGTAATTGACTTTATATATATTTAGTATATCTTATTAAATAAATATATTTTTGTATTTACAACTTAGAACGGCTTGGTCATAGTTCTTTAAATAAAAGAGAGCATATACTGGCAAATGGGAATCATAGAAGTTCAGTATCTAATCCCAATGATTTTATGTTTTTCAATTCACGCAGAAAGTCAAGATTTAGTCGAATTTCTAATGAATTTTATAAAGGTTGAAAATTTTTTGTTAAATTTTTTTTTGGTCAAATAAAACCATAAGCTGATGCGACCGAAAAAAAAAATTTTTTTGTTCATATCTACTAATGGTTTAGGGTGTGCCAATTAAATATATATATCATATAGTATATCAATATTAAAATCTATTTGAGAAGTGAAGTGAAACTCGGAAGCCAAGAAAAACAAACATTACACTTTATCAATAAATATTAAATTCAGGCACTTACAGCACCCATATTTGCAATCATTTTGTATCAATATATCAATATAAATTTTGTTTATTTTTAGATAAATAATATAATAATTCTATAAAAGATAATTCATTTAGTATCAAAAGTAATTTTATTTATTCATACTCATACGAATATATAAATTATTATATATTTTTTATTAAAAAAATAATTTACTTTATGAAGTGATTTTTTTTTTAATTTCTATCTGAATTGATATAAAAATATTTTACGGAATGATGATGTCATCAAAAAATATAAACTAATTAATTAATTACTCAAATTGAGTGAAAATAATTTGTTTTTGTTATTATAATTAACCGCTAAGTAGTAGTTTACAGTATTACAGAATCAGGGAATTTGTGACCTTGGTAATTATATATTATGCTATATATATTTTTTTTATCACATTACTTAGAATGGCTTGGGCATAGTTCGTCGGACAAAAAAGAGCTGGCAAATCGAAGTCAGAGAGGTTCAGTATCAAGTGGTATTGATTATATGTTTTTTACTTCACATAAAAAGTCAAGATTTAGTCAAATTTCCAATTAGTTTAATGAAGATTAAGAATGTTTTATTATATTTTTGATTTTTCGATTTTTTCATATAATTCATATATGATTAAATATGATTAAAAATAAATAATAATAAATAAAAATATATATAAGAATGATTATAAAGAGATTGGTGCAACAAAATATTAGTAGTTTTAAATAAATAAAAGTAATTCTCTGTTGTCCAGTTTTGGCTCAATTAAATTGATTAAACAGTAGAAAAAAACATTGATTCATTATTAACATCATTTTAGACATTTTTAACTCATACATATTTTTAGTAACTAGTTTATTTTTATACTCATGATTTATTAAAACTCAATTTTTATTTTATCCAGTTTTAATCTTTGGTCTGTAACATGACTGCAACATGTATTATGATAGGGTATACAATAAAAATTCTTCTAAACCTAATTTAGAGTTATTCAGAAGGAGCTCTATGAAGAATTCAATGCAAATTTCAAGGAATCAAAATCAAGAATCTTCTGAATTTAATGTCATTTCACGTAAAAAGTCAAAGGTAACTTGGTTTACACCTGGTTTCAACGAAGGTAATCAGTTTAAAAATTAAATTAAAAAACTTTATTTGAAAATTTGTATGAATGAAAAGCAAACTTTGTTTACTCTTATTCCAATACTAAAAGATTAGTGTTATTTTAAGTTCTTTGTGTCCATCTAATAAAATTTTTTGTGGCTTCTTCCTTTTATCTATACCACTAAAACTAACTTCTGATAAAAGCTGGTGCTTGAATACAATTCTTAACTTAAAAGTGTCTTCACCCAATAAATATCCTTCAAGTACCAGATTTAATTCTGATTTTCCCTGGCGAACCTGCCTTATTTCTGAAATTTACTGTAATTTATTGCTGGCATTGCAAATGTTGTTCTAAAATATAAAATATGTAATAAAAAGAACAACAAATAATAATTCGTTTCATACATACTGTTTACAATATGGTAAAATTTTTATTTTACTATTTTTATAAAAAAACAATTCAAATTGTATTCAAAACTGAAACCTTAAACTTAAGCAAATAAATCATGTTCTCTTATTCAAAGGAGATTAATTTATTAAAAAGAAAGTTAAATTTCAAGGAAGAATAGTTTGTTAAAAACTTTTTTAAATGGAATGCTAATAAACCAGACCAGAAAAAGTTTAAAAACTTGAATAAAGTTTTATTTTTTAAATGATAGGTTGCTTGTTAAAATCAAACCCTGAATTGATGTAGCGGCACTTCTATGTAAAACAGGTTATAAAATAGTCGATGTAGCAGCAGTCTATAAGATAGTTAATGTATATATATATATATATATATATATATATATATATATATATATATATATATATATATATATATAAATATATATATATATATATATATATATATATACTAATAAACAAATAGATTTAGTTAATCTTAGTTAACAACTCATTTTATATAGAACCTTTATTTACTAGTTTTATTATGCAATATTATATGTAATTAAATTGTCAATACAGCCTCAAATATTGTTTTCTTTTGTATTTTAACTCACATTCTAATAGTAAGTACTATGGTTAATGAGTGCTTTTGCATAAGAACTTTTTCATGCAGAATTGATATTCAAAGGCAATTATTTTGAAAGATGTATTTAATTATGTCCAGAGGGAATTGTACAAATCTTTAATAATGTCCAAAGAAATTATATCTAACAATTATCACCTTCCTTCTTCTAAAAATTCATTTTGTAATTGGTAAAGTATTAAAACTTTATAGCAATTCTTTCATATAAAGATGAATAAAATATTTAAAAAGATAAAGAATGCAATCAGGAGTTAGGTGCTTGAAAATGGGAAGCTCAATAATAAGAGATAACTTTTATGCTATCTTTGAAAGCAATTGTTTTTAAACAATTGCTTGCAAAGATATTTCTGATTTTTAAAACTAAAAAAACCTGAAACTAAATTAACAAATGTTTTGTTGAATTAAAAATAATCCTCCCTAAAATATCGTCTCCCTATTCACAAACATGCTCATATTATGAAGCTATTGAAATCTCAAAAGCCAAAGATCGTTTCAACTTGTACAAAAATAGAGATGTACAAAATAGCAGGTTTCAATAAACTGAATTGAACTTAACCACTTTTATTAAAGTATTTAAAATTAAATTTTAATATTTAGTTTATATTTTAATAATCAACCAAAACTATCAAGTGCTTTATCTATAAAGTCAATTTTTCTATTTATATATCTATTTATATTTGTATTTTAGATAAAAGGATAATTTTAATTAAAACTATAATCTTATCATTTTATATAATTTATATTTTAGATATAAATGATGTATTTATCAAAACTTTTAATAATTAATTTAAATAATAAAAAAATATTTTTTTTTTAATGTTTATAAAATACAAAAATAATTTAAAATATGTAAATAATGTAAAATAAATACATATAATATGAATACTAGTATGTTTCATATTTTATCGATATTTAAATTGAACTTACCTTAATTTATAAAATTGATATAAAGATGAGTTTGAGCAAAAAAAAATTGCTATGATAATTTTTAGGGTCCTTCGTCAGTTTGACTTTGTGCCAAAAATGTTTGGTGCTACAAATGTCTGGAGGGGAATTAACATTTATTCTATAAAAATTTTAATTCTTTTAAATGTTTTATATTTGTTTAAATATTAATCACAGAAAAGGAAAAAATTTAAAACTTAGTCTACTTCAGAAATTGATGGAAAAAATTTTTTTTTTCTCACAAAAGGTGGAATTTTTTTTACTTGGCAGTGTGTAAATAATATTTTAGATTTCCTAATAAATTGCTTCTTTTTGCAAAACTAACTATAAATCAAAATGTAATATAATATTATCATATTTAGTTAAAAAAAAATTTATTTGATCCATGGGCCAATCTGTCCAGGACTCTTTAATGACCTCTACATAATAAACATTAGAGCACAATAAATTTAAAATTTGATCAAAAATTTTTTTCAGAAAACATAATTTAAAAATGTATAAACCAAAGTACTCCAACAGAAGTTTAAAAGTTAGCAACTACTTTCCGATGCTAAGTATTTAAAACTACATTTGCATAACTAATAATAAGTATTCTTCTAAAAGCTAGAGTGTATATATTTAAAGAAAAAAAACTAAGAGAAAACTTACCTTGAATAATTTTCGCAACAAACAAAGAATTAATTGTTTATTTGTTGCAAAATTTAAAAATTTAAAAAGAAAAAATCTAGCAAAGAGTGTTATCTTTCAATAAGTAGGAGAAGCAGATTTTTTGGATTAGTAAAGATATTATTGAAGAAATTTAATAAAAAATGAGCCTTGAGAAACTCTCATATTATGCTAATAATAATTTTTTAAAAGATCAAAAGTTTAGTTGCCTTATGACCTTGCGGAACAATGACATGAAATTTAAGATGGTAGATAAAAAAAATATTTAAAAAAGTGTAATATTAAACAATTAAATCAAGTAGGCGAATCAAGTTTTTCTCAGGCATAAGTAAAATCAGATATTTTATTTGATTTAGTTTTTCTCAGACAAGTAAAATCAGATAATTTATTTTATTTAGTTTTTCTCAGACATAAGTAAAATCAGATATTCTATTTGATTTAGTTTTTCTCAGACAAGTAAAATCAGATATTTTATTTTATTTAGTTTTTCTCAGACATAAGTAAAATCAGATATTTAAACGCAACCAGGTTCAAGTAATCAAAAACAAGTTTAAGTGAAGGATTTTGTTAAAAAAGTATTCATGAATCAGGATCAAAAAATAATTCATCAAGAGATCTAAAGCATGAATTTAATAGTTAGTCAAAAATAATATTTCCAATAAAATGCTGAACAATATTTTATAAAAATAACAAAATTGATACCAGTAAAGCTATGCTTTCCATTATAGCACATTTTGATGGATTTGCAGTCTTGGTGGTGAAATAAATCTTCTTGGCTTTTTTTTACTGGAAAAGTTTAATACAATGCTTCAGTTGATGACATAAAAGGTTTATGTTTTGATACAACTGCTACAAAGTAAGACTGATATCAATGCTAGGTTTAGTCATAAATTAAACTCAATTTTATTAAAGCTAACTTGTAGGAGTCATACTTATAAAATACATCTTAACACTTCTGTGAAAATTAAAGTAGTGATTTAAATTTAAATTTACATTTAAAATTACTGTAATGAAAAAACTCTAGAAAACCTGATGTTCCAACAGTTCCAAATAAACTGGAATGATATTAAAAGTAGTATTGACTTTTCAAAGTTTGTTAAATATGATACCAAATATATTGTTAACACTTTGTTAGAAATCTCTACACTCAACACTGTAAAATTATGCAAGATTTTAAGAATAACATTTTTCACAGAAGAGAAAGAGTTATAGAAACTGATTCTTGTGTACTTATGTCCTGAAAGAGTTTTCCAAATTTAAGCTCCCGGGTGCTTGTGTCATGGACATTTTATGTTCTATTATCTCAAGATTCAGATATTGAGTTCACAACTTTCTTATGAATCGATAAATAATAAAAAAATCAAAAAAATGAAGCGCATTTTATGGATGAATTTATCTCAATTTTTTTTTTTTTTGTCTGGTTTTAAAAAACTTATTTATATTACACTGAGTCTATCCAATATAAAAATATCCATTTAAAAGCCTATTGGCAAATAATGAAATATATAGAACAAGTAGAACAATATGTTCATTATTCAAAAACAATTTTAAATAGAATCAATACAAAAATGGCTTCAATTTAAATACATTCATGATACCTTGTTGAAACCTTTTTTCAACTTGCTCTTTTAGATTATGGTATTTCTTAAAACCAGTTTCTGAATTTTTCAGGCCTACTGAGAAATTTCTTTAAAACTCTTAACTTTAAGCTGGAAAAATAACCAATTAATTCACAATTAGTAGAAGAAAACTTTTAGTTTATTCTTGGTTTTTTAAACCTCACTAAACTGAATAATAAACTTTGGTTAAACTGCTTAGCATCACTATGAGAGTATGTTGACCAGTTTAAAATTTTTTCCCAATTTGTCTCTAACCTTGCAGTGGTTAATGATAATTTTTGAAAGATCATGTTCTTCTATATATATATATATCAAAGAAGGGAAAATATTCACAAGGCAAATAATAAGAAAGATTTGCAATCAATGTATGAAGCAATTGTATAATAAATATAGTTTTTTAAAGATGACATTTATTTGATGACATAATATTGAATTATGAATAAAATCTTTTACTTAATAATACTAATTTAAAAAATTAGTATTATTAAGTAAATCAAATCATTCTTATCAAATCATTCTTTTTTTTTTTTTTTTTTTTTTTTTTTACTTTTTTATAAAAACAACTATACAACAATACCATGAAAATCATTTAAAGTTAAAGAGCTTCTACATACTTGCTAATCTTTTTTTTTTTTTTTCCATAAACATTTTTGCTTCCAACAAGGCTGCAAGCAACCAATAATTAGTGCTGGAAGTTACTGGAAGAAAAGAGATGAAAATTGTAGAGCAAGATAACGATTGACAGACAACTTAAAAGATTGCAAATTATATGAATCAGGAAAGCAAGATGAAGTAATTAAATTCCAAAGAACTAATGTTCGAGGGAAAAAACTAGACGAATAAGAGTTTTTGGAACACTTAGGAACAGTAACAGAAAAAAGATGAGACTTAATTGAATAACAAGTAACACGACAATGAATTTTAGTAGATCGCACAAGAGACGCTAGCTCTTTAGAGCAGTGCCCATTAAAGTATTTGTAGAAAAGAGAAAGAGAAGCAGCATTACGACGATGTGACAAAAGTTGAAGGTTGGCTGCAAGAGCAGGTCCAACTATGTCTGCAATGCTTTTTTACACCTTGTCTAATGAGAAATGACATTATTACAAGATCCGCCCCAGAAATGGCAACAGTATTTCATACAAGGACGGATTTGAGATTTATAGAGATAGAGAATAGAATCCAGAATTAGAAAGTGTCAAGCTCGATAATGAGATGCAACTTTAGCAGATGCTAATTTTGCAACGGATTTAATATGAGGTTTCCAAGAAAGATCAGAAGTAAGAGTTAATCCTAGAAGATGAAGAGTAGATGACTCATCAAGTACATAACCGTTCATAAATATAGGAGGGTCTAAATTATTGCAATAATGATTGGCTGAAAAAAAATTGAGTTTTATCTGAATTAAAGTTCACCAGCCACTGTGAGCCCCATGCTGTAGCAGAAGTGAGATCTTTTTCAAGTTCAAATGCCCCCTGCAAGCAATCAGAGGGAGATGGCTTTTTATTGTGACAAGAATAAATGGTAGTATCATCAGCGAACAATGCTACCTTAGATGTGAGAATATCTGGAAAATTGATAATGTAAATTAAAAAAAGTATAGGGCCAAGGATTGAACCTTGATAAACCCTTCATGTTACAGAATAAGAAGAATGCTGTCCATCAAGAACAACTTTTATACTATGATTGGAAAGGAAGGATTCAATAATCTTAAAGATGTTTTCAGATACACCGTAAGAAGAAAGCTTATGGAGAAGACCAGCATGCCAAACTTAATCAAACACTTTAGAAATTTCAAGAGCGATGGCCTTAACCTCTCCACTTTTATCTAAAGCGCAATAAAATCTATCGGTTATTACTGTTACCAAATCAGCCGTAGAATAAGAAAATCCAATGAACACTTCTGCAAGATTATGACAGGTATGTTGTCTAGGTGGCAAGCTGTAGAAGAGTCTAAGCAGGAAATCACTTTAAATACAGTAGCTGGAGTGATACGGATGTTGAGCAATGGATCAACCTGTTTGACGGCTATATCTGGTAGAACGCAATTAGAAGAATCAAAAGATGATATTGATGAAAAGTTCTTAACAAACAATTCAGCTTTATCTTTAGGTGAGGTGACAAAGTCTGAACCATATAAAAGAGGTGGAATTACAGACTTGCCCTTATTATAGATTCTACTAATTTATAGATTGATACCCTTGAATTTATACCCTAATATCGTTATTTATAATATTGATACCCTTATTATTGATACTATTAAAGATTCTTCATAAGTCACAAGAGCCTAATTTTTGAGATGAAATACAACATTTCATGATCTGAGAATAGCAGGCTTTGGCGTTAGATAAAACTATTTTACAATGGTTCCCAGCAGTAATAAACAGACGTCTGTTTTCTGGAGAATTGTTTTGCTGACAGATATGGAAGTAATGGTTTCGATTAGCAATTGCAGCAGCACAATGTGAGGAAAACCATGGAAAAGAGGGAATAAAAGATTCCATACCAGCCTGAATCAAGGAAGTTATGTAAGAAGCGCATTTGTCAACAGGAAGACAAAAGATTTCTACCCAAGGGCCATCATGAAGAAAATCACGGACAGCTTTAAGATAGTTGTAAGATGTGCAATGATAGGGGTAGTTTGATGATAAAGAAGAATGAGATAATAGTTTTAGAAAGATCAAACTGTGATCAGAGGCTCCTAATGGTGAATGTGGAGAAACTGAGCGCTGACTAGAATCAGAAACAAGATACAAGTTGAGTAGAGAAGGTAAATGATTCGGGTTGTCTGGAAAGCAAGTTGGAAAGTTGACTTTTTGAGTTAGGGATTGAGAAAGACAAAAGTTGTGGGTTTTAATGCCTGCAGAGTCACTGACACAAGAGCCATGCCATTCAGTGTAATGAACATTAAATTTACAGACAACAACAATATTGGCTGATGGATAAAGAATGAGGGCTTAGTCAATATGATCAGAAATAACATCAAGAAGAGTGCAGTCTTGAGATGAAGGAGAGTGATATAGAACAAAGAGAAAGTTGATAGAGTGAATTGGCGTTAAATGAAAGCACATAAAAGAGTAATCTGTGGATTCAAACCTAGTTTCCGGACAAATGGTTTTTACGAATGTAATTGCCCAGGCCAAGCATGTATCTATTGGAGTCTTTACGAATTAAAGGATAACCATCAACACTAAGATCACAAGATGAGACAGCTGAACTCAAATTAGTCTCACAAAGAGCAAGTAGATCTGGTGAACTTTGCAAGTAATAAGACTCAACAGAAGAAAAGTTACTTCAAAGACCATGAATTTTAGTGAATGATAGGTTTAGCGAACTTGGTGATGACTGTGGTTTTTTGTGTTTTATAGTTTTTGTTACTTTATTCATTTTTAAATTTGTTAAAGAACTTGACTTGAAACACAGATAGTACTCAGTACACTGTTTAATAGCCCAAGCAACTGCCTCATTACCATTAATAAACCCTAAGCCGTAATAAAGGACTCCAATGTGGCTCTGGCAATGTACACCAAAATTACAAATAGAAACACTACCCATGCGCAACATGGCACTGTTAGTACTTTGATATTTTATAGCTGTTGATGGAATCAGCCTCTCTGAGAGCTACCACAAAGTTCGGGAAATCTGACTACCAGCTGGCCTCAGAACCATAAAACTGAGTTTTAGAGCTGTACCCTCATTAGGAGATGATATAATGAGTTGCCCAGTCATAAAAACAGAGACATAAGCTAAACCCATGCATCAAGTCAAGAAGATCCAGCATTCAACATCTTAAACTAAAAACAGTGTATTAAAAATACATCTGGGCTAGCCTAATAGATGAAGAAGGGGTGCGTGGCTGGTTAACAGATAGAATCTGTTTACTCCTTAGATCTTTGCCTAGGAGGCCTTTTCCAAGACAGCAGCCACATGCATTTAACATCTGTCCAAGATGAGCATTTTTATTGAGACACCATCTCTAGCCTTTACTTAACGAAGAGCCCCAAGGCAGGGGGTGTTTTATGTCAGAGTTGGCATCTCCTAGCCTTTTCCTAAAAAGGTGTATCCTACAAGACAGCAGGACATTAAGCAGTTTGTACTGGGTTATATGTTACCAGTAGCAGGATAAACTTGACCTGACAGTCACCAGTTACCAGTAGCAGGATAAACCTGACCTGACTTGTTAATCTTGAGGCAACAAAACTAGTATCATTAATACCCCCTTCAACAACATTGCAGTAAGTTCATTATTTTTATCCTAAAAAAAAAAATATTATTACAGTTAAGATTAACATCAGGTTGAAATCAGTGTCAGGTTACCTCAGAGGTTGAATCAGTATCCGTTTACCTCATAGGTTGAAATCAGTATCAGGTTACCTCCAAGGTTGAATCAGTGTCAGGTTACCTCCGAGGATTAAAAATAATTTTATTAAAGATCTACATAAACCTCATATGACTCTATTATACAAACTATTCAAGTTATAGTTTGTTTCTCCTCTGGAAACAGTTTATTAGAGAGCCAAAAACTTTTTTATATGCTATCTAGAGATAAAGGCGGGAAAACCAATTTTAGAAGATTCTGTAGACTAATTTTTCATTTTTTCAACATGCTTCTTTTATTTGATTAATAGTTCAATATATAATATTTAAAAGAATAAATTTTATAGAATAAAATATGAAAATTTTATAAATTAGGGTACGAGTTCAACTTCAAAAATTTATAAAGTATAAAACACTAATGAATACACATAGTACTTATATATTCATAAACAATAAATGTAATTATTTTTTGTATATGTTTAATTTATGAATAGTAGAAGAGAGTTATTTGGAAAAAAAAGACCATAAAGAAAAAAATCAATATCGAAAAGATTCTCAATCTCATGACAATGGTTTCATTTCACGTAGAAAATCAAGTCAATTTACTACTCAATTTAATCAAGGTAAGTTTGGCTTTTAATTGCAAAAAAATTTTCTTTCTTTTTCTTTTTTCATCATAGTATCATTGTTTTTTATTTACAACCATAAATCATAAACTTTATAAGATTTTGAGGTAAATAATTTTACGATTAAATAAGAAACTGGATATGAAGGTTATTTTAAAAAGGACATCTAGAATTTAGTTCTCCTTAGTCTTGAGAAAGTAGAGATTTTTATTTAAATTTGTTTGGGGTAAAGTATGTTTAAACAAAAAAATTGTTATTTAAAAATTATTAACAATTCAAACTTTTGTTTTGTTCAGTCTGATAGTTAAAAGAATGTATACGTAATAACTTTTTTTTAGAAAATGAATTAATTTTTTTTGTTTTATTGATGTGTTATATTCTACTTAAACAAAAAAAAATTTAATTCTATAATTTTGTTATTGTTTTTGTAAAATTTATTTATAACAATAATTAATTCTGTAAGAATAATATTTTTCAAAAATTTAGTTTACTACCTCATAATATTTCGGTTTTCTAAAATTTTCTGTAATTTTAAGTCAGGCTATTATTTTTCAAGTATTATGTAAACCATTAAAACACTTTTTGTCATGAAAAATTAATTTTGATATAATGCTGATTTTTTTGGGCTTTTTAAAATACTGGAGATGATATTGTTATAAAAATATGTTAACAAAACCTACTGCTGTCTTTTAAATCTAAGGGTATTAAATTTGTTTGAATCTTCTGTGATCATCTTTTTGTTAATTCTGATGAGTTTTTTATCAGCTTTTTTTTTAGACTTTAGAAGTTTTTTTCATTCATTTATATATATTTTTTTGCTTTTATAAATATGTTTTTAAATATGTTTTGATTAATTAATAGCTGTTTTTTTTTTGTGTGCTTTTTTTATTTTCAATTAAAAATTTTGCATTTATCAGTTGCTGTCTCTTACTTCATCACTTAGTAAATTGAACTTATTAAATTGTTCAGCTCCCTGGAATTTAGTGTCATTTGTGTAGCTGTTTATCAGCTAAACAAATTGACAATCTGACAGAACTTTAATTTATATATATATGTATATATATATATATATATATATATATATATATATATATATATATATATATATATATATATATATATATATATATATATATATATATATATATATATATATATATATATATATATATATATATATATATATATATATATATATATATATAAGAGTAATATTAAATTGTATAAAGAAATATGATAGTTATATTGAGTGTATAACTAAAAACAGATAATAAACTAGAAAACATTAACATAATCAAAATTAACAAAAATAGTAATAGCTTACATGTATTTACAATTATATATTATTAAAAGATCACAGATAAAAATAGTATATAATAAATTTAAAAAAATAACATATAAGAGAAACTATTAATCATACATTTAAAAAAAGTGGATAAAAGATATAAAAAATTTATAGGAAATTAAAAAATATAATAACAAAGATAAATTATAACAAAGAATAGCTGATAACACTAGTTTAAATGAAAAAAATTGCAAGTCAAACATGAATTTCTAAATTCACATCTGTTTTTTGAGAAAACCACAAATTTGTGTTAACAAATTTTATACTTATCATAAACGGCTTATATCATCAGTTTATGTTTGAATACAAGTTGAATTAAATATTTTATTGTTTGTGTGTTTCAGATTTTAATTTCAAAAAAAGTTTTACAATGCCAAGACATTGTACGAATTCAGCAGACAGTTTTTGTTATGTTTGTGGACAATTTTGCATAGTGGCTGAGAATAAGAAAATATCACATTTAATAAAAAAATATTACCATGCATACTTTGGATGTAAACTGGGAGGCCAGGACAAAGCATGAGCGCCTCATGTTATTTGTAAACTTTGAGAATTAACTCTTGGCAGGTAGTTTAAAGTTAAAGTGAAAAGTATGCCATTTGGCATGCCCATAATTTTGCCTTCAAATCATGCGACAGACTGCTTCTTTTACATGACGAATGTTGTTGGATTCAACAATAAGAAAAGACACAAGATTATATATCCCAATGTACCATCAGCCCTGAGGCCTATAGAACACTGTGAAGACATTCCTGAGCCCACTCCTCCTACTCAGCTAGATAATAGTATGAAAGTTCAACTTCTGAAAACAGTAGTGTTGTTCTTGATCCTGATTTTAATGCCGATGTTACACCGAAACTTTTTACTTAGGATGATCTTGATAATCTAGTTCAAAATTTTAACCTTCCAAAACTATCAGCTGAACTGTTTGCATCCTGTTTACAAGAACGAAACCTCCTCACTTCTGAAACTAGCTTAAGTGTGCAAGAATTGTTATATTGTAATAATATTGAACGTCTTATCACATCTATGTGATAAGACGTAATTATATCTAATTATAAAAAGTAATTATATCTAATTGCTTACAATGCTAATCAGTGGAGGTTGTTTATTGACTCATCAAAGCGGATCGCAGATCAGAGAAGTAAAGAATGATGATGGGTTTTTATTTAAATTGGCCGCAGTTGAACTGCAAACTTTCAAAGATGTTGTCAACAATATCTTTGGAAACTTTAAATCAGACAATTATAAAAGTCTTGTTGAGAACATGGTAGCCAAATTTCAGGATTTGGGTTGCCGTATGCATGTCAAATTGTACTTTTTAGACCCTGCATTTCCCTGTGCATACAGGGAAGAGCAAGGTAAAAGGTTCTATCAGGACATTTGTGAAATTGAGAGTCATACCAAGGTCGTTGGAATGTGAGTATGATGCCCAACTATTGCTGGTTATTAAAACGCTATAATCCTGGTGCTGCTCATAAGCGAAAATCACTCAAAGATAATTCACACAGTAGAAGACAATACATAAATGTATATCTGCTTTTATATTATGCTTTTGTTATTAATTTTGTAAATACCAATAGTTTTCTGCATGACCGAAGTACATTTTGTTGCTTGCTTTATTGACTTTTTTCTACATTAACATATGTCAAACTGCAAAAAATCCTGACATGATACAAAAAATTGGATTACATATTTGGAATCAGCATAAAAAGTTGAGTACGAAATACCTATTTGCATATCAGCAATTTTTACAAATGAAAATTTGTAGACCAGTACATATGATAGATTCAATTTATATATATAAATTTTTATCAATATCAGAAAATAAAATAGTCTCACATAAATTTTACTTAGAAAAACATGTGAGGGAATGTTGTTTATGTTTAGTTTTTACTATTGCTCTATTTTTATTTTTCTCGCTGCTCACTACTGCCCTTTTCTTCTCACTACTGCCCTCTTCATCTCATAACTACCTTTTTCTTCTCACTACTGCTCTCTTCTTCTCACTACTACCCTCTTCTTCTCACTACTACCTTCTTCTTCTCATTACTGCCCTCTTCTTCACACTACTACCCCCTTTTTCTCACTACTACTCTCTTCTTCTCACTACTACTCTCTTCTTTTCACTACTACCCTCTTCTTCTCACTACTACCCTCTTCTTCTCACTACTATTCTCTTCTTCTCATTACTACCCTCTTTTTCTCACTCCTATCCTCTTCTTCTTACTACTTCTCACTTTTTATAATTTTTTCTGACAGTTTTATTGCACGTCTGGGTTTTTTTCTTAATTTTTTTTTCATTTTTCATATAATCACTTTTTCATACAGCTTATATTTAGTAAATTTGTGTTTAAAAATAGTGTTTAGCAAGTTGCGCCAAAGTAAAAATATACTGATGCTTTAATGATGTTCATTTAAGAATTCAAAATAAAAAAGTTATGCATCTAAAACATTCTTCGTTATTTGATGGTCATTATTATTAACTAATAATTGGTAAGTATTTGTAACCTTTATCAACTTATCAAACAACTTACAATAATTTAGAATATCATTAAACACAAAAAATATCAAAGTATCTTAACTTAGACTAATCTCCCTAAAAGGTTTTTCGTTTTAATTCTAACAAATAATAGTGTACCATCTTGAAGAAATCGCGACTCTATTAGTTATTAGTTACATATTTAATTTTTTTATAGGGAAAGATATGAGGATTTTCTGTAATAATTTGTACAGGCTAATGAATTAGCATTATAGGTTAAACAGATTAATGAATTTTAAAACAACTTCTTTGAAATATATACAACTCACCTATTCGTATAATTTTGTTTCAAATTTAGAATTGTTCAGATTGCGTTCTTTAAAGTTGAAAGAACTTAGAAAACGAAAGGTTTCTTACAATTTACGTAGACAGTCAAATTTAAGTAATATTACATCTGAAGTTAATCAAGGTAAGTAAGGTTTATATCATTTAAAAGACTAATAAAAAATATTTTACTTTATATGAAAAGTATATTTAATTTATAGTCTAAAAACGTCTCTTTTTATCTTTTTTATCTTTTATGGGTTTTTTTGTAGTAGTATTAGTTGTAGCAATAGCAGTAGAAGTTAAATTTAACTTTAGTCATTCAGCCAGTAGCATACTTTTCTCAGTGAAACTCACAACAGTTCTAACAATATTTTTTTTCTAGTTCCTTACTATGCATAAATACGACAGAAAAAAATAATTTAAAATAACTATATTTTTCCAATATTTAAGAATAAACAGAATAAATATCAAAATCGATCATGCATTCAGTTTTTATCACAACTAGTTGCTAAAAAGTTTACCATAATAAGGTATTTCTTTATGTTAACACACACATAAAGTTACATAAATCATTATAAAGATATGGCAAGTTGTTTTATGTATGCCTGTAGTCTTTTTTAAAAAATCTTGCATCAATAGAGAAAGTATAAAGTAAAATGTATTATATTTAATATATTAAATGTAATAAGTAAAATGTATTCTATTTAGTGTTTTTTTATTTTTGTATAAAGTAAATCGTATTTTAAATATTACTTAATTAGTTTCCAGGTTTTTAATGTATATTACCTTGTTATATAGCTTATATTACATGATAAGTATTTAATACCAAGTTAGTTACCATGTTAGTTACCATGTTTTGAATATATTCTACAATGTTGGATAAACACCTGAAAACATAAAAAGTAATTGCATATGTGATATAAGTAAACATTTTAAACTTCAGCAAACATATACTTTACAAGTAATAATAAATATTAAATTAAATATTTTAGATATTAAAAAAGGAATAAAAACGTCTTGATTGTCTGCAAAAAGGAATACAAATAATTTATTAATATATCTAAATGAAGTATGAATAAATGGGAATAAAACTCAGCCAAAATCAGTGTATTTTTCCATAAAGCGTTGTTTAAAGTTGAATCAGTGTTTTTTAAGAGGGCAGATTTGCTCCGTGCGTTTTGAGCAAATACACCCTTTTAGAAACATCAATTGAGTTGCAATACCAAATATATTTAAAAAAAAAACATTTTGCTGACTTTTTCCGTGCCTAGGCATAAAAGTTTCTTTTTTCATATTTTTTTTTTAACTAGTTAGAACATATGTAGTTTTACAAAATCGTATGAGAACGGCAGCTCAATTTTTTTTTTTTTTTTTTCTGGAATTAACGAATTTGATTTTATCATTTTTGTGGTGGTATCTTTATTATGCCTTGAGTAACTATATTTTATTGATTTTTTGTAAAGTTGTGATTCTTTTACGTTTAGAATATGAAACGTTTTATAATACGACTGTATCTGGAAGCCAAATCGATAATCGAGTTTTGGAGCTTTCTAAGTACGATTACTTACTCGAAGAAGAAATCGATATTGACAATCATTATACAAACGAAACTTTTGATAAACTTATCAGTTTTATAAAAGTTTACAAAGCAAACTTGGAACAGAGAAAAAACAACTTTGAAAAGTAACTAATAAATAAAGTCAAAGCCGTGTTGCTGTTCAAAAAAGTTATAAAAAAATATATATATATATATAATTCTCAAAAACAGTTTAGTAGTTTAAAGTAGTTTAGAATAATAAAGATAAAAACAGAATAAAAGTAAATTATTGAATAAAAATTAAGAATAGAATAAAAGTAAAAGAAAGAGTATGGATTTGCATTTTTTGTTTGGTAAAATGGTACATAATTGATAAATAAAATAAGATTTTTACTTTTAAAACACATAATAATAAAAATTTAATTTGTTTATTCTTAGCTTAGTCTACGATATTATAATGCATTTTTAAACTTGAAAATAGAACAAAGTCTTTCAACGAATTATTTCACTTGGTGATTGTTTACTGGCTAGTTTAGAACAAAAATTGGTATAAAAAAACTTTTTCCTTGTCTAAATATCATGCTTCAAAATACATAGAAATTTTTTTTTTCAATAATAATTTTGCATCTTTATTTTCATCCAATGCCTTGAGTGTGAAGATTTATAAAAAAATTTGTTTTTATAAATCTTCATTAACTTAAGTAACTAAAAGTATATATTTAAAAAAACCTTGTTATAAACAGAAATGTTTCATTAATTATCAATTAGATAGGTAATACTTGTTTGGGTATAGATATTTTTAATGATTATATGAAAAAACATGTAGTATTACAGTTATTATTATGTTACATAGTTTTTTTTAGCTTCATTCATTTCATTTAGTTTTAATGGCTTCTTCAAAACTATATCAAATAATGAGCTTTATTAATTTCATTAGTTTATTAAAATAGTTGCTATGATATAATCAGTATATTGGATAATCATAGTCGGGAGACATTTTTCATAAGACTTTTCATATACTATCTTTCTGAAAACGCCAGATATAACAAATTTTTTCAAAAGTTTTTCATTTAGTTAGCAACAGTACCGACCTCAGTTATATGAAAGTGTTTAAACAGAAATTATGTAAATAAATAATGAAACATTTTTTATTTTTTAATTTACAATTATTAATCGTAATATGACAATATATAAACTTGGTATCTGAAAGAAGATCCAAATGATCTTGTTGTCAGAACCATATAAAATATATTACACGTATATATAAATCAAAATAACAATACAACTGATTCTATAATTATTAACAATGTAGAATAAACAAAAACTGAAAATAATTCAACAAATTATCCAGAGTGAAAATAATTTTACATTTCAAAAATATTTATATATATTGCCAGTACAAAGAATATATTTTTTAATTTAGTTTTAAAAACGGAAAACGAAACTGACAAATCAAAATTTGTAATTACAGTTTTGTTTTATAAATACGGTGCTCGATAGTTTATTCAAATTTGATAAAACTTTGTTTGCCAAAGAGTTTAAACAATAAATTATTATTTTGTAAAGTATATTTTTATAGCTTTATGGGTAAAAAGGTCTTTGAAATTGAACAATGGTTGTTCACTTTTACAACGAAACATAAAATATTATAGTCATTGAGTTCGTAAATGTTAAGTGCTTTAACGTTTTTAAAATATTTGAATGAGAAAAACGATTTTCAAAACATATTAAACGCATTGCGTGTTTCTAAAGATGGTAGAGATTTCGTAACTTACTCTTAGAGGCACTTCCCAAAACAATATTTGCATACAGAGACGTGGCTAGACTCCCCCATACCCCCAATTTGGGGGGGGGGGAGCCAGCATTTTCAGGGGCCTATTTCAAAATTAAAAAAAAATTGTTTATTTTTTATATAAAAAAATAGTTAAATATATATAGTTACTGGTACTGGTACTGTCAAAAAAGACAAAGACAAAATAAACATTTCTAACAAAAATTTCTTCTTTTAATTTTAATTATAAAAAATACAAAAGTGCAAACCTTTTTTTTGTTCAATAGAGAGTTTTAGGCAATCTTAGCAAACATGAAAGATTATTTTTAGCAGCATGTTGGTATAGTTATCTGAAAGCCTATTTCAGTATTCTGTGTTGTTGGAATAAACTGAAGCAGACAATCAGTTAACAGAAAATCCAGCACAAAATAATGTAAGTACACAAAGAAAATCTAACTATTATTAAACCATTTTAATAAGATAAAAATGAAACAATTATAGTGCAAACAAGACCCCTAACCATAACAAAAATGAAGTTTTAATACTTGAGCCGTAAAAAAACTGGCCTCTTAATTTTTTACGGAAAATGCAACAAATCAGACCGTGTAATTCAAGTAGGCCATGTATATATATATATATATATATATATATATATAATATATATATATATATATATATATATATATAAACGTATACTATATATATATATATATATATATATATATATATATATATATATATATATATATATAATATATATATATATATATACATATATATATATATACATATATATATATATATATATATATATATATATATATATATATAAACGTATATTATATATATATATATATATATATATATATATATATATATATATATATATATTATATATATATATATATGTGTGTATATATATATATCTGTACATATATATATATATATATATATATATATATATATATATATATATATATATATATATATATATATATACATAAATATATATATATATATATAATATATATATATATATATATATATATATATATATATATATATATATATATATATATATATGTATATATATATATATATATATATATATATATATATATATATATATATATATATATATATATATGTATATATATATATATATATATATATATATATATATATATATATATATATATATATATATATATATATATATATATATATATATAATATGCGTTTATATATAAATAAAATATATGTATAAAAACATATTATATAACAAAAACATATAAACAGTATAGATTTTAAACTCAAAATGGGTAAAATAAACTTTTATTAAGCTAAATCAATGTCTTTTTTTGAAAAAAAAATTAAAAAAATCATATATATACAACTGTTTTTTTCAAGGTTACTTTCTAAATATATATTTGTATTTTTCTTGTTTTCATGCGATTCTGCGCATAAAGTACCACGACGTAATATTAAATGTGTACGCGCAGGAAATTATCGAAAGACGTCTGAAGACGTCAATTCATAAAATAATCCTCAGTGACCAGCAAGTCTTTTCATACAGTTTTCATACAGTTTTAAATGATTAACAGGTAAGTGATTCTTGAAATTAAAGAATTATAAGTGTTCAATAATAGTGTATGATTACAATGGGGAAAAAAAACTAGTATTTAAATAGTGTCTTTAAATATCTTTTAGTTTTACAAACTCAGTGGTAGATAATACTGATTGTGGGTATTTAATACAACTAAATATTTAATTTTATACGCAGTTTAAAACATTTCAAATTTTGCTTCTAATTTAATAAACACGTTATTTTAATAAATTTTTTTTTTTATTATTACCATCACTATATATGTTTTAAACTTGTATGTTGTATGCTGATTGTAAGCTCAATCGGCACCTTTAATAACACGTGTTTGAAATTAAAAACAGCATGAGATGTTGGTATTTCTAAAAAAATTCTTTCATTTTTGATACCACATTTTTTTGATATAATATTCATTTTAAATATTTTATTAGATCGTGTTTACATTTTTTAAAAAAAAACATAAAGTTGCATTCAAATCGAAAAAGATTTTATTTTTCGTTTGCAGTAAAGCACATTATAAAAGAATAAAACACAGTAAAAATAAATAAAACAAAATATTTAATTTTAATATTTTTATTATTAATAACATCAATATTACATCAACATTATTATTTTAACAAAAATATATATCAATATTATTATTATATTAAAAACACGACGAAAAAGAATTTTTAAAAAAGCAAAAGATAAAAATGAATATTTAAAATAGCTAACAAGTTAAACAATAATTAATAATAAATAAAGTTAAGAAATTGCAATGAAAAGAAGCTATCAATTTACAAATTCTTTGATATTTACGAATAACGTTAAGAAATTGTAATGAAAAGAAGCTACTATTTTACAAAGTCTTTAGTATATATAAAATAAGTTGTGAACGTTGTTATATATACATACATATATATATATATATATATATATATATATATATATATATATATATAAACATAAACATACATATACATTTAAATATCATGAAAAGTTGCTGTTTACTTGTTATTAACCCATTAAGGTCTTTATCTGGTGACGTAGCAATCATTGTCGTTCGCGTTGTTTCGTTCATGTTTATTATAATGTCGTTAATATTATTAAATATATCTATAGCTCTTAAAGGATGGAAAGTGGAAGGTCATTTAAATGAGTACATGGAAATTAGCCTGTGGACAATATGTCGATATGCTTTAACAAGCAGTAGAGAGTTACATTTTAACCAATGCTACAAAACGTACTATGCTGAACAACCGTTTGAAATATGGTTTGAATGCTGGCGATGGTCACTTGTTATAGCTTCTGTTATTTTAATATTAACATTTTTACTTATGTGTTATGAACAATCTTTTAAAAAAGAAAACAAACCGGGCAAGTGGATTGTGTCCGCAATTACTTGTTTCACGAGCGCATGCTTAACTGGACTTTCATTGGCACTCTATTGGTATGAGTTTAGTTTTGATTTCGTTGAAGAATCTTTTCGGTGGGAAAAAATGGGATGGAACGAAACAACTACTGATAAAGAAGACTTTATAGAAATTGTAGGACCTCCATTGATAATTTGTGTTATTTCGTTTTTTTTATTGCTTTTTACGAGCTGCTTTTGCTATATGACATATCTTTGCGAAAAACAATATAAACAAAAATATTTCTTAACTTCTGGCAAAAAAGAAATTAACGAAAAAATGTAGGATATTTATGATGTAAAACTGTAATCGCGCCAATAATTTAATATTGCATGTATTATTTATTAGTTAAATATTAATTACTGCTTTTTAGAGTTTAAGAATAATTTACCCAGTCAACCAGCAGTTAAAGATATCTTTAAGAACCCATATAATCAAACGAAACAACAAAGTTATATCGATTAAAAACAGTTAAATAGTAAATAACAAAAAATGGCAAATAACAAAATAT